TTCGATCATCTTAATATTTTGCAATTAAAAGTAAAGTTAATATAATAGATTTTATCTCATATTTGCGTGCACCCACATTTGGTAATCACATGCTATTTAGGTTAACTTTCCCTTTTAGAGGATTGGGGGACAGTTCCTAGGTAATTAACTGCCTTATTCAGCACAAGAGAATACGATCACTAGATAACGATGCCATATTAGCCAATCAATTATTGTCAACCTGCTTTGCACTTTACATTAGATGATCAGTTTTGAAATCGTTTGTGAATCTGTCAGAATCCAGCGTGATGGATCGAGCGAAACACCCACCTGAGTAACGCCTTCTCGCCAAAGTAATCACCACGTTTGAGGCTTCTAATGAGCTGTGGATCATCAAACCCTGCTATCTTCTGTGTCACCTCGACCTAAACAGACGCCATACAACGGTCAACAACAGTTCTACTTGGTTAACATATCATAGCAATACCGTCTCCACCCAAACAGAAGCCTTGCTACAGCCAACACCTGATTCACTCGGTTAACACTATATAAAAGTGGTAAAATGCTTTTAAAGACCATCATCGTTTTTTAAGGAAGAGACATACTTTATGGAAGGTAACGTTAAACTGCTCTCTTACAACTGATATTGACTCTACTATCCTACTTACAATTACAGCCGACCAAATTGTCAATGCAATCCTGTCAATTTACCGCAAATATTTTCTCTGCTACCTCATGTCATTACACCTGATATTTGCTGCGATCCTGTCATTTTACAGCCGAGATTCGCTGTGCTTTCCTATGTCCTTTGAACAATAATAATGGCTGTGCAATCCTATGTCCTTTTACGGTACTTTTTCTTTCTTTCCGAACCCAAATACACGCTGTACTTTTTTTTTAGTGATTAAGTATTTAACATTTTATAGCAATCAATATGTATGTTTACTGGAACAAGAGGCCCAGAGGGCCTATATCGCTCACCTGGATATCTAAGCAATCATTGCAAAATATTCTCCAAATGAGATCCAAGGGAATATGCCAAACCCCAAGGCCAATCCTTGTAGCATATCTGTATTAGATTTTTCATGCCCAGCAATTTTACGTATGGTTATGGGGTGGGGATCTCAACTGTTTCTAAGCTGTGACTCAGAAACTAGGTCCCTAGGGTTTGGTCCAGACCCCAGGATCAATTCTAATATCATGACTGCTTTTGTCTCTTTTTGCCCAGCATTTGTATATATAGTTTTGGGGTGGGGATCTCAACCCTTTCAAAGTTATGACCCAGGGGTCAAGTCTGCAAGGGAGGGGCAGACCTTGGGGTCAATTCTAATATCATGACTGCATTCCTCTCTTTATGCCATGCAACAATTGTATATATAGTTTTGGGGTGGGGATCTTAACCATTTCGAAGATGTGACCCAGGGGTTAAGTATCCAAGGGTGGGGTAGTCCCCAAGGCCATCCTGGAAGCATATGTGCATTCATCTCCTTATACTCAGCAATTGTATATATGGTTATATGGTGGGGATCTCAACCATTTCCAAGTAATAAACTTTTTTGGCCCCACCCCTTAGCCCGGGGGGTCATCCCCACCATTTGTACAATTTTGAATCCCTGCCTCCCATGAATGCTTCCGACCAAATATGATCGATATCCATGGGGTAGTTCTACCTTTATAGCAATATAGCCAAATAGCCCCGTTTTGGCCCCGCCATCAGCCCCCTGGGGGTCAGCCCCACCATTTGTACAATTTTAAATCTCCACCACCTAGGGATGCTTCCAGTCAAATATGGTTGACATCCATCTCTTAGTTCCAGAGAAGCTGTCGCTTAAAGCAATATAGCCAAAAAAACTTTTTGGCCCCGCCCATCAGCCCCCAGGGAGGTCAGCCCCACCGTTTGTACAATTTTGAATCCTTGCCTCCCATGCATGCTTTTGATTAAATATAATTGATATCCAGTGCATAGTTCTACAGAGGAAGTCGTTTGTAGCAATATAGCCAAATTGCCCCTTTTTGGCCCCACCCCTCAGCGCCCTTGGGGTCAGCCCCACCATTTGTACAATTTTGAATCCCCACCACCTAGAGATGCTTCCAGTCAAATTTAGCTAAATTACAATCAGTGGTTAAGAAGAAGAAGTCGTTTAAAAATTCGGACCAGGTGAGCTAATAATACAAGTTTGTTATCTTAAAAATACATCATCGAAGAATAACTGCTTTCTTGAAAAAAGATGTTTCATAAATTTGCACATAAAACATTTCAACATATGTATCGACCGTATCACTTAGTTTAGAGTCGACATTCGAGCATAAATTGCTCTGACTACAAGATAAGATACACATAGAATACTGTGAAATCCGATTATTTCGTTGGGACACATTTCCTTGATTTCCAAACCAAAACACCATTTCGTGGGTAGATTACTAGTACCCACGGAACTAAAACCATGTCCTTAGGAATTAAACCAATTCTGTCACGATTGTCAGTCGTGTACGTAAACGTAAACCATTCCAACAGAAAGACAGTTCTGAAAACTAAAGTTGTCGGACGTGTTGGAAACGTACTGAGAATGATAAAATTTAATCGACTAAGCGTATAAATTGACGATGTTTTAGTTGCATTGAAAAATGCATTATGTTTGAATACATGTAATGCCTTTGTATACATGTGAGTTTTCATTCATAACATGTACATCATGACAATGTCTTGTTTGATTGACACTCGTACGGAAGATACGGTGATGTCGAGCCTGTTGACGTGGATGAGGAGTACCAAAGGAGTCAACAATTAAAACCCCTACACGAAAATCAGTACCAAAGGAGTCAACAATTAAAAACCCCTACACGAAAATCAGTACCAAAGGAGTCAACAATTAAAACCCCTACACGAAAATCAGTACCAACACATCTGAAAGTCCACGGCGACATCACATAGTTTTAACGTTATTCATTTGAGGTCACGGCAGAATCAAACATTTTAGTCTACAACAACAACGGATCAATAACAGAGGATAAGGATGATACACAGTGTAAATGGTGTGTGATTTACGTTTTAACCTATCCATGATTCGTCTTTTTCAGTAAAGCAGGGCCAGAAATCAATGACATTCCAGCGCAAGGTATACCGAATTTCGACGTTTTTATGATACCACAGTGTCTTGATAATGGGCATATATATTCCGATGTATGCTTCCTTACTTACCTCTCCTTTGTTTATGATAAAGAACGTGTCACCAGTTCCGCCTTCCCTGATGATGTATTCGCGCTCGTGGAAAAAGTCCTGAAATGAATTACATCAATCTGATAAAGAACTATATACAATGTACTACAGAATACATGAGGACGTAAATTACGAAGAACCGTTACTTTTACACAGCGCTACGGGTCGTGAATAGCATACCCTGATTTTCCGCTTAGATGAAAGTTTCCCTTGAACACAAGCCCCTAGAAGTTTCAGTAAATGTCCAGGTTTCATCATCATATCATAAATTAATCTGTCATTAAAATGGAATATTTTCACGACCACGCCTTACGAAACCTCCGTCTTGAAGCAAGTATCTTGCTGTGAAGCATTGTGAGAGACTTGTATCACCATAACTACAAGACATCTTTTTATGTATCGTAACTACGACATCGATCAATAATTCTACGAATGTATATGTATATATACACCACAAATATCACCGACTGATAATTTTTTCTTAAATCAAACTGGAATAGTATGTATGTATATCGTGTCACTGCCATGTGATCGTTTATATTAAGTATCTAACAGAGTATTGACTGATTGAGTCCGACATTTGTTGCGTTTTGTAGTGATACTTTCTATTGTATCTCCCAAACAGAATATACAGCACGCGTGGGAATTCAGAAAAATGAAACAAAAGATATGATTACGCAATTATAAGGAAATAGCATACATAGTTCTATTGTGTAGACAAATCGACTGGTTTTTTTTTTCTCCAACCTATAAATCATCAAAGTAAAGAATTCTGACTTGCCCTTACACTTTTGGGATTAATATTGCGCCGGTTTACCTAATATGAGAATAACCAGTTTATAAAAAGAACTAAAAAGCACACTATTATATTGGTTTCTGATACAAGTGACTGTGTAAGCTCTTCTACTGATATATCCATGTCGTCTTCCATCCGTAATTACTTGTATTCGTGTTGCTGTTCTTTAGTGTTGTTGTCTGTTTATATGTGTTGCCATCCCTTCGATGTTTGAGTCTTGCTGGCTCATTTTACCGTTGCCCTTTCTTCAATGCTGGTATCTTGTTGGTTTATTTCAATGTTGCCCTTCCTTTTGCATTGGTGTTTTGTTTGTATCCGTGTTGGTCTCCCTTGGGTTTTGGCGTTTTGTTTGTTTCTTTTAGTGTAACCCTCCGTTGTGTGTGATGTTTTGTTTATTTCAGTTCTGCCCTCCCTCTTCCATTATTTTTTAACCATTATAAGATGATATTCGCCATAAGGTTATTCAAATCTACCCTCTGAAAACTACATTACGATGATTTGCAATTATAGTTTTTCTTAATTATGTCATTACTTAATTAAAAACCCGTATTATTCTAGATAGACATACACACATACAAATATGACTACACCTTCAAAATAAATGAGCTGCGCGGCACCTACAGCTAGAACATATGTTATCTGATAAACTGTCTTCTTCATTCTTGTCATTACGTTGTAATTACATTAAGGCATATTGAGGCACATGTGTAACGCCACTTTCATGCCGTCCGGATGATATCGGCTATATCAGTGACTTTCTCATTCAGGTTTTTGACATTTAGTTCTCAATCGTGGCATTCTGTATCGTTGCCATGCTTGGAAATGTGTCAGAGCATGATAAAAGGGTGAAGTTATCTTATAGAAAGCTTTTTGATAAAAAGTACTTACCACTTCTAAAACGTCCGCTATTTTTGCTAATTTTTCCGTCGGCAGTTTTTTCAAAAGCGGAACGCTAAAAAATAAAAATAAATATTATGATTTGTTAGACCAAAAAGAAAGGGAAAAGAGGCGACATCAACTTCTAAAGCAGTATCCAACGTTTTAGTTTATCAGAACACTGTGTGTTGTTTAAAGCACTATACTGTGGATCAGTTTCTAAAACAAAACGTTAAAATGATACAAAGCGGCCAATTTAACAGTAAACATCGCTCTTGATCAATACTTAATACCATAGACTGTCCTTCTGATGTTGAAAACTAACTGTACAGATCAGCTGATAATTGAATCAAGAAACATCGCTTCAAACATCCCATCACATCCAAAAAGGCACGGTTAAAAGTAAAATAACGATTATAAATAAGGTTAGAAAATATCTTGATTTATTTATATCGTAAATAGTTTAAAGGTTCAAACACTATTGCGGTGATAAAGTAGGGAATGGGAACAATGAATCACCATCGTTTTTGCTGACGGTGCATGTATATCACTTCAGTGATGTGCGCTGACGCCAGTCAAGCTGTATGGCTAAACTCCACAAAGTCATAGGGAAAAAACCATTTAACTAGTAATCTATTTATTATTTTGAACTATGGTTATTATTAAATATTTGAATAGTCTTGTATGTTTAGTTAACTTAACAATACGATTGAATATTTCTAAATTCTTTACACTTGTGTCATCCTTATGTTGTAAAAGTTACCACACACGTGTAATCTTGATCTTGATAAATATATCATACACGTGTAATCTTGATCTTGATAAATACATCATACACCTGTAATCTATATCTTGATAAATACATCATACACCTGTTATCTTGATGTTAAAGTTACCTTACACGTTTAATCCTGCCAAGTGGTTACGTGTATTTACAGATGTATAACAACATTATTTTTTTTATCAGATTGCAATATTCTAAACAAACTTTGTGACAAATTATAAAATCTATTTATTTTATAACATAATCCGATATACTAAGTCATTGCATAACTAACATACAACAGATGTTAGCAGGGAGTAGCACAGAAAACAGTGTAAGGGACGGGTCCCCGTCTGTACTTTGATTTACTCGCGACCAACATCCAATCATCTAATAATTCATTGCTAACTCCCTTTAACTTAGCACGGATTTTCATGATTTGCCTCATTTTATATCTCCATACGAACGCACCTATTACATCACCACGCATTGGTGCCTTAGAGTTTAACAAACTTGCAACATGTTATTTTATAAGAAAATACATTATAGGATTTGAATTCGGTCGATATCACTCCTCCATCGCTTAATACAATAAAAAGTCGACTTAATCAAATAGAAAAAAATATGTATCGTATGATGTGAAGGTACATCTCAATTTGTAGACACGTGATATAATTTGGTTCGATTCGATTGAGTTAGATCTAATTTACACTCCTTTATGACACATACATCATAGGAAATATTTTGAGAGATCTGACGTCATATTATTCTTTGTTGGTTCAAGGGTACCTTACATGTAGGTCTATAACCACTAAGAATAGGAGACAAGACCATAATTATTTTCTACAGTAGGTTCCAATATTACATCGCATTTGTATAAAAAAAAAACGTTCAGTACGACATCGAGTATTGATTAGAATATATATATCGTACACAGTACATGGTTTCTGTATTGATTAACTTCGCATATAAACCAAAACATCACTCGTCGAGGGTAGTCATAGATAGTTCACTACAAACACTCATTGTTTGCAGTCGTCTTTTATGTTAAGATGTGTTGCCAAGGGGATTGATGTCCTTCGTTTTACCTTGAATAAACGGTAAAGGGACAGCCATCCATTGACATAATAGCACACAAGGACCTTTTACGGTTGACTCTCTTCAGAGTGTGTATTGCAAAGATATAGTTTGTACCGATCAAAACGGTCGTTCTGTATGATGAAAAAACGTACATGAAACCACAAAAAACATCAAAGATGTGGGATTTCCGTTCAACACCATCACACTAACTGCAAATCTGTTAACACGATGAACTGCAACCCAGATAACACACTAGCTACTATCATCACAAGATCACAACAGTGCACTTACTACAACCCAGATAACACAATAGCTTTTATCATCTCATGATCACAACAGTACACTTACTACAACCAAGATAACACAATAGCTACTATTATCTCATGATCACAGCATTACACTAACTACAACCAAGATAACACATTAACTACTATCATCTCATGATCACAGCATTACACCAACTACAACCAAGATAACAAAATGCTACTATCATCTCATGATCACAACAGTACACAAAATACAACCCAGATAACACAATAGCTACTATTATCACATGATCACAGCAGTACACTAACTACAACCCTGATAACACAATAGATACTATCATATCATGATCACAACAGTACACTAACTACAACCGAGATAACACAATAGCTACTATCATCTCATGATCACAACAGTACACTAACTACAACCCAGATAACACAAATTCTTCTTTCACCATAACATTGAACTATCTACAATTCTGTTAACACAAGGAATACCGTCATCACAAAAACAAAGTGTGCAGTCATTACAGTCTTACACTAACTTCTTACTTTTTACACAATGTATACAGACATCACACGATTACACGCCATACGATCAGTAACAGTTTCACATTGTCTGCTAGGATTGTTATGTACCGGTTACAGATGAACTTAAGTATAGAAATCAATGAAATGTCGTACTCTAGTGTGTGTGTGTGTGTGTGTGTGTGTGTGTGTGTGTGTGTGCTACAAACATTTATAGATATAGATAGGATGTCTTTTTATCGGTTTTTTTCGCTCTCTATTTTTAATATTTAATCAGATATATTTCATTTGTTTAAGCCACTGACGTCATAGACATTCACGTCTCTAACTAACCTGAGAAGAAACATCATAAATGACGTAAGACGATATCGGTGGTTTTCTGAACATTTTGTTAATTGCCAGGAAAACATTATAAGGTATAAGGTTCTTTGTAAAATCACACGAGTCTACACTCTAACATTAACGGATGCATCACTCACTTTATATGTGTATATAGTGATTGTTTATCGTAGCATATTTTAAAGAAACAAAGACAATTTGTGAAACGATTAAAATACGAAGTAGTTATGAAGAAACCGGAATATATCTTGGTCAACATCACTGGAAAAAATCTGTTTAAAATTAAATTAACTTAAAAGCTTTGCAAACACTTGACCGAAGATGAGAAAAAATAAATGAACAAATTAACAGAGAAATTCTCATACAAAACACCTATTTTCGTACGTCATACATCGATATTTATTCCAAAGCTTCTGTCTAATTAATCACTTCCTGCTCATCGGTTGTTCTATTCAGATGGGAGAAGTACAAATTTGGGTTATGTATAAATCCATATATTGGACCCGTAAGAATTGATATTGAAACGGCCAACTCGTAAGAATCTGCAATGAGATATCCAACTTGTGAATATTTACAATATTCATGAGAATGCATAATCGATTTGTATCTAATCTGTTAAATTATATTGTTTAATATGATCTTCTCGCTGAATCTCAAAGATTTTACTCAAGAATAATGTTAAACACTATATTGAATATAAATCATAAGTAATCACTATTTTTAATGATCCTGTGTTTATATTAGTGATATAATGGTATATGAATACATGAAAAAGATCTAAGAAAACGAGATGTGTTCTATAGACCCACCTCCTGAGGAAGCGGATGTTTTCGTCCTGTCGTTGTATACCGGTCTTCATCATAATGGCCTGGAACACACGTCGGTCTAGTACCCATACCTTCACGTCAGACAGGGCTACACAAAATAAAACGTCAAGGTGATAGGTAGACCAGGGTGGCGATAACATCATAGTATACCCAGGGTGACCAGGGTAGAAATAACATCATAGGTATACCCAGGATGGCTAGGGTAGCAATAATATCATAGGTATACCCAGGGTCACTAGGGTAGCAATAACATCATATTATACCCAGGGTTACAAGGGTAACAATGACATCATAGGTATACCCAGGGTGACCAGGGTAGCATCAGTATCATAGGTATACCCAGGGTTACCAGGGTAGCAATGACATCATAGGTATACCCAGGGTTACAATGATAGCAATAACATCATAGTATACCTAGGGTGACCAGGGTAGCAATAACATCATAGTATACCCAGGGTCACTAGGGTAGCAATAACATCATAGTATACCCAGGGTCACTAGGGTAGCAATAACATCATAGGTATACCCAGGGTTACAAGGGTAACAATGACATCATAGGTATTCCCAGGGTGACCAGGGTAGCATTAATATCATAGGTATACCCAGGGTTACCAGGGTAGCAATGACATCATAGGTATACCCAGGGTTACAATGATAGCAATAACATAATAGTATACCTAGGGTGACTAGGGTAGCAATAACATCATAGTATACCAAGGGTGACCAGGGTAGCAATAACATCTTAGTATACCCAGGGTCACTAGGGTAGCAATAACTGCATAGTATACCCAGGGTCACTAGGGTAGCAATAACATCATAGGTATACCCAGGGTGACCAGGGTAGCATTAATATCATAGGTATGCCCAGGGTTTCCAGGGTAGCAATGACATCATAGGTATACCCAGGGTGACCAGGGTAGCAATAACATCATAGTATACCTAGGGTGACCAGGGTAGCAATAACATCTTAGTATACCCAGGGTCACTAGGGTAGCAATAACTACATAGTATACCCAGGGTCACTAGGGTAGCAATAACATCATAGGTATACCCAGGGTGACCAGGGTAGCATTAATATCATAGGTATACCCAGGGTTACAAGGGTAGCAATAACATCATAGTATACCCAGGGTGACCAGGGTAGCAATTACATCATAGGTATACCCAGGGTCACCAGGGTAGCAATAACATCATAGTATACCTAGGGTGACCAGGTTAGCAATGACATCATAGGTATACCCAGGGTGACCAGGGTAGCAATGACATCATAGGTATACCCAGGGTGACCAGGGTAGCATCAGTATCATAGGTATACCCAGGGTTACCAGGGTAGCAATGACATCATAGGTATAAGTTTTATTATCGATACTTAAAATAGTATGGAATTATATAAAAAAAATACTGATGGATAACTTATTTAAGCAGTAGTATATACATGGCTATATTTGAAAACTATATCAAGGTTCCTGTAGGTAGTTACTGTTAACATAGATAAGACGAGGTGAACAACAGAACAAATATGGAAATAATTTTAAACATCAGAAGAAACAACGATTCGTCAATGACATGTTCTGAAGAATAAACATAACCCCGTTATATCTATGTAATCTATTTATCGATATAACAATGAATATTTAACGGGAACAGACCAGTAATTGTAAATTAGAGAGCAATCGTGTTTCTATGTATTAGCATAACGGGTGAAAATGTATGAACAGGAACAATGAAAGTGATGATCACAATATGTCTAGTAAATATTGTGTCCATTTGCCAGTATTTTATTGGATGGTAGGAAATAAGCAAACCTGTTCACCTCATATCACACTATTGTTAGAGTAGTATAATATAATGCTAAAACGAAGCTTGTTGCTGTCGCGTCTCCATGGTACTTAGTCAAAATGTCGATAGAGAGCGGAAGATAGCGACAATAGGGGCATACGTATGGCTACCACATGTGGTGAAATCGTCATTTGTACTTCCAGGTACGTCTCCAGCCAAGACATGTTTGTGTCCTCCAGGGTCGTTTGTGGCACATTTCCAAATTGGTTGATGCATATTAGAAGCTGTTTTACCATCAATCTGACGGAAAATTGACAATGACAAACCCATTTGCTGTATATATCTGATGATAAATTAGTATGGCCTTCAATTGGTAAAAAAATCTACAAAATATATATACATACTATTCCTAACCTTTTCAACGCGCATTATATTCCTTCATCCCTTTAAAGACAGTGTTACGGTTCTTCACAATCCTGTATATACATACCTCGGACAGACGCGGTTCTTGTACAGTTGTACAAGATGGCCAACTCTCCGAAGGCGCGACCAGCCACCATTTTGCCCAGTACTTTGGACCCTTTAAGCACCTCCAATTCTCCATCTGTAAAACACCGTAAACATAAGACAATGGATGTTTTTTATTCTCTGAAACACTGAACAAAACTAACTTGATCTTAGATTCTTCGTTACTATATCGATATAATATATTGAATCCTGGATTCTGAGCATTTTTACTTATTTATTTATTTTATTACAAATTTATGTTCATTCCCAACAAAACTATTTGTTGTGGTTTTGTTCTCTCAAGATGGACATTTTTAACATCTGTTGGAATACACATTGGTTATTTTCGTAATAGTTAAACCAGAAGTCAAACCTCCTTGTTAATGTGGCTGTGAATTGTTCTGTTTTTTCATCTTAAAACATACGTAACATAAACCATGTCTAACACTGCCTGAGTATGCTTATCAATCACCTGGGTTCAAAACGGTCGTTGACCTAACGATGTCGGTAAACCGTGGTTAATGAGTCGTCAGTATTTAACGAACCGTTAAATAATCGATATTATTGATAATTCCCTTAACATCAGGCCACGAGAGAGTCAATCTTGTTTTTCTATTTGCAGTAAAAAGGGATTTCTTATTTTTATTTGTTTTTGTTTTGTTATTTTCACTTGGTTCTGGTCTGGAGTGAATTGCCCTTGTACTCCACCAGCTACCTGACAAACAGAGATGACTCTATGTAATAAGCGTTTAAAACTATTTCACTTGGTTCTCTACTTCAGTTGATAGACGGACATCGTTACATTAACTCGTATACAGATGTAGGACAATCACTGGGTATATACAAATGATAAAATATCTGAAGACATCGGAACAAACATAAAAATCTCATGTGACGGACATGTACTAATCATGCTAGCTATATAGGTGTCACAGAGAAGGATAGCGCTGCTCAACTGAAATCCTTGAAAGGTTAATAACAGTCAAAGTTACCAATTGTAAATGAGTTTTGCTGTATGGGAGATATCGCGCGGGCCAGTTGATCATATCAATCCCCAAACACTTCTAGGCTTTGACGGTACACTATTACACTTCTAGGCTTTGACGGTACACTATTACACTTCTAGGCTTTAATGGTACACTATTACACTTCTAGGCTTTGACGGTACACTATTTTGTAAATATGTCAATAACAAGAGATAACGAAGAAGTGTAAACAAAACCCTCGTTCCAAAGCAGAGTCGATTGAATAAGGGCAAAGAAAAGATACAAACAGAAACCTTTTGAAAATCTAAAAGGAATATATGACCAGGTGTTCCAGAATGGTAAGCGTCTTCTGCTTCATCGATGATGATCAACTCCAAGTAATGTCAAATGCCCATGGGAAGAACCGGGGGTAGTCACACTAAAACTAGTCTATATATTATATCACATAAGGAAAGAGAATATTTCTCAAAGAGATCACAACGAGGACCAAACTTCCATACAGCCAGTTGATGAGCGTTATCATATACCGTAAACGAATCATGAGTTACATTAAATCACATATTTAACAATGACCTATACAGTATACTATCAATCCTGTGTACAAAGGTAAACAGCTGACTAGCAATTGGTGATGGTGATGAGCAGGAAACAGGTTTAGCGCCGTACATTATTCATCTAACGTGTAGGCTACATTATGCAACAAATCCACTGAAGCGACTCCAGTTATTTTCTCATTATCCTAGGGGTGAAGGTAGGAGAACTATAACGCGGCCATTAGCCATGTCATTAGTGAGTAGCGGTTAGCGCCTGTTCTCTGGTTTTTAAACGCTCCTGACAATTTCCTGTGAGTAGGTGACTAGTAGGTGAATAGAAGGTAATTATACGAGTTTGTTATTTTCCTTCAAGTAGGTAAAAAGAAGGTGAATATACGGTTTGGTTATTTTCCTGGAAGTAGGTGAATATAAGGTGACTATACGGGTTTGTTATTTTTTTCTGTAAGAAGGTAAATAGAAGGTGAATATATATGAATAGAAGGTGAATATACGGGTTTTTTATTTTCCTGCAAGTAGGTGAAAAGAAGGTGAATATACGGGTTACTTTTTTTCTTGCAAGTAGGTGAATAGAAGGTGAATATACGGGCTTGTTATTTTCCTGCAAGTGGGTGAATAGAAGGTGAATATACGGGTTTGTTATTTTCCTGCAAGTAAGTGAATAGAAGGTGAGCATACTGTTTTTTATTGCTGTAATGCATGCTATGACTGGAATGGTTATAAAGCGCCAACACAATTCAAAGTGTCGATTTTTCGAAACAAAATACACCAAAATTGGACTTAATAACTTTTTTGAAATGAAAATATTGCTATACAACCATTTTCACTTTTGAACGAGAAAGTGTGAAAATTTTCTATTACTTTTCTACAAGTAATGTAGGAACGATAGAAGATCACCATTTCCGTCAATATAAATATCACAACCTCTTTAATAGTGTATATTTGTCGTCCGTGGTAGTTAACCCAGGCTAGGAGTAACTTCGATACATAAGACATTAACCTTTATTTTTTTTAACTTTTAACTGAAGTATTAAAACCACGACATTTTATTTCTAAAGCAAGTAATTTATTTTAATGGGAAGACTTATGCAAATGACATTTACTTTCTCTTTATTTTCCATCGCTCATTTAAGGTTTTTACTAATGGGTATCGTTGTGTAGGAAGCTGATATTAAGTACCCATCCCAATACAATGTCTGTGTTGCCAGTGTGTCTCCTACCTGCTGATACATAAAGGTGCTGTCCACTTTCGCCTTCTCGTATGATGTAGTGCCCTTGCTTCACCTGTTTCTCGTACATCGTATCTACAATCTCTCGTATCTGAGTGGAGTCTAGGTTTTTCAAAAAGTCGTTGTCTAGAATTGCATCTTTTATTAACTGTTTGGACCTGAAAGAAAAATACCACATCATTTATATCAAGACATCAGCATTTCTATCTGAAGAAACCATGAACTGTATACCATAAACAGAGATGTGTAAGTGTTCACCTAAAACAATGAATATTGATTTCTTTTCTTTAACAGTTACTCTGCTATTTAAAACGAAGGTCTAGTCTGTCTTTTAGCGTTTGGTCGCAACATTTCAGATAACCTGCAGTCAGGGTTCTTGATCTACTGTACCTTCCAACTAGCCTCTGCAGGTCTGCATTTATTAGACAATTCACCTGCTAGGTATGCTTTTTGTGCGATTGTATCAACATTAGAAGTAAAGTATGTATTGTACATATTAAAGCTATATAACCTGCATTCGCAATGATCTGTCGGATGTTGGAGTATTAGCTAATCATAGTAGGTTTGATATGTACTGTATGTAATGATATAATTAGACGTCTTGTCATCGATTAGATTGACTACTAGGGCACAGAATACGGCTTACTTGTCGTTGATTACGTTTATTTTTTGTATCAACTGATATGATGAGAGATCACGAATTCGTAATAGTAACCACAGCAACAGTAACATACAAAGGCTGCATAGGAAATATATGCTAATATTTAGATACACTACTGTGTAGCCGAGAGAGAGAGAGGAACCCCTACTCTTGTCTTTCCTTACACTTCATTTAGATCGTGTCGATCTGGAGACCATAAGCGGATTATACTCTTAAATGTCCTTTGATGTTAGAGGCTATTTAACAAGAACAGATCTTTCGTTCTTGGACTTAGTGCAAGCAAAATGTCACTAAGGATTTGTATCCGTGATTCAAAGTTCCGCTACATGTTGCATCCATCGCTTAATACAAAGGGATAAAAGAATACTTGCTGAAAAGCTTAGCTTCAGTCAAGATTTATCTATGATGGCTAGCGTTTATTAACTTTCATACACGTGCCTGAGGGTGAGCATGTGATTTGTGACTGTAAATGCGTAATTAATATGCCTTGTTTTAATGAAACATTTGCCTGGAATCAATTATCGCCGTCACCAGCGATCGACATTTTGCGGGATATTTGTCATGTTGTTCCGACAGCAGTTTGATTTAGCGATAGTAAAACAAGAGGTTAAATGTTTGCCAATATACATGATAGTTATAATTACGTTGGCGCGATTAACAAAATCTGATATTGACATTTTTCGGAGAGAGATGACCAGATAACTCGACAGCGATTTCACCTGAAGCAGATATATCGATCTTGTTAGCGCCGTTCATGTGTTCTGGTGGGTCGGAGATGAGCATTACTTCGTCATCACTAATTCTAAGGTTATGCATAGTACATGTAATTGTCATCATGTTATAATTGGCCTGACAGATGTCTATTGTCTTACAGAAATCTACTGTATACCAGCAGTCATTATGTTGAGATTAATATTAAGCATTATCTTAATGATCATAAATAGATTATTTCCCATATACAAGTACAATACATACCACTTCCTATTATTTCCATATTTATTATTAGTGTGTCGTACATCAGAAGCACAATACGTACACCAGGGCATAGTATCATTCTCAGCCTCGTTTACAATAAGAGAGTAACAAATTCTTTGTTATTTTTCCTTTCCCATTTTCCTTAACGTTGACAGTACACTAAGTATACATTAATAACACAATACTTGTTATTCGACCCTCTTTGTATGTTTAACATAAAAACACTACAACTATATATAGGTATTGTCTTCTTTAAGTGTCGTTATCAATCTGATTTCAATGATTGTCAATTTGTATTGTCCAGTTAAATTGTTATTGACATTTATAGTAAAACGAGGATATTCTCTCATTGTCCTATTCCCATTGCGGTAAACCTTATGTTGTATCAGTTACCAATTTTTACAGGTGTAAACTTATGTCTGTGTTTTACATTCGTCTCTTTTAGTACAATAAACATTGATTAAGAATACAACACGTTTTCCTTGTAAATGTTGATACCATTCAAGGTACTACCAGTATAAATAAATACAATGTACTATGTGTTTACGTTACTATGAGCATTAGTGTATATCTGTACTGTCCCCTCTCAGTGATGTTTTCATCTCTGTGCCAATAAGAAGGTAATTGTTGTCCTATCCGTTCTCTGAGGTTCACATCAATATGATGAGACGTATTGTTTTTGTCCTAGCTCTGTGTAATTGATGCTTTATCCGTTCTCTGCGGTTCACATCAATATGATGAGACGTATTGTTTTTGTCCTAGCTCTGTGTAATTGATGTCCTATCCGTTCTCTGCGGTTCACATCAATACGATGAGACGGATTGTTTTTGTCCTAGCTCTGTGTAATTGATGTCCTATCCGTTCTCTGCGGTTCACATCAATACGATGAGACGTATTGTTTTTGTCCTAGCTCTATGTTGTCTTAAGTATGTAACAACAATAAGTATGTACATTGTTATTGTACTTTTCCGGTATTACCTACATGTACATTAATAATCTTTCCGAACAAGAACATATACATTGTTATCGGCCTCTCTCAGTATTGTCTTGTGTAAAATGACAAAAAGTGTACCGGGTATATCATTACTGTTTTCCCTCAGTGTTGTTTTGATTAACGAGCCTAACAATAGTAACGTTATTTTCTCATATATACTTATTGTCTTATCTCAGTGCTGTCTTCATCAATGTGGCAAGTATATATGGGTATTGTTCTCTCCCAGTGTTATCTAACATGTGGTGATAACAATAACCTATTGGTATGATGTGGTAACAGGTATATTGTTACTGTTCTATCTCAATGCTGTCTACGCTAGGACGACAATAAAGCATATATTGTGTTTGTCCTTTGCCAATGTCTGTATAAGTAAAATGACAAAATACATTTTCCGTTACCTTTAATTTACAGAACAAATATTTTCTAGTTTTGCTACACAATCACGCGACTGAACAGCGCCAGGTATGTTATTGACTTTAGACCTCCTTCGTAGATCTATTCTATGTCCAAAATACGTGTTAACAGCATGACTAACACGTGTGGCAACCGACAACACGAGATGCTTAAAGTAAATGCCTGGCGATTTTCTAGAAAGATTTAACATCTACTTAAATGTCAATTGCCTTTTTATCCTGAACAATGATTTGTGTGAGGCGGTGTCGGATAGAAGATACTCTATATACAAACCTGCTTGACAAAATACCTGTGTACAGAACAACATAACTACCAAAACTTAATCTGTATTATTGTTTCGGAGGAAAAGTAGCTGATAACGACGTATATACTGAACCTAAAATAATTAATGGACGACAGGAACGCCGAAGTACTATCTCTAAATATGATATGTTCATGTCGTAGGTATAATCTAGAGAAGTGCCGAAGCAACAAAACTGAACCACGTGTGAAGCATGCACAGGCGTAACATGTATCCACTATTACTACAGTTAGAGTAAACGATTATCTCTGTTCTATGTACAATGTCAGTAATGTAAATATTTATACTCTGTACTATTTTGGCACCAATAGTTACTCCATATACTCAAATGATTATCGAAAGGACAGCTTACCTTTTGTACATCCGTTACCCTTTATCTGTATAGAAAAAAAGAAGTAACGATTATGTTTTGAAAGGATACAATATAATTATATGTACGTACCTGAATTCCTTTTCATGTCTCTTAATTTCCACGACTGTTCCATGCTGACTGGACATAGGGCTCTCAGCAGAAACTCCCTGTTTCTTGCTTCGCCCTTCTTGTCCAGGCACCGACGCATTTTCATGAATTGTCGCCAAAATGTCCGGATTCCCAGCATCCTTGTGAACTTTAATTTGTAACACTGATTGTAATTTGTCAACTTCAGCTCGTAATTTTGTAATTTCCTCACACTTTTCCTCCAGTAAACGTTTCCTTTCCAACAATTCTGTTTCATATTTCAATATTTTCGCATCACGAATTTTGATTTCTGCTCTTAAATCTGGGATCAACTTCTTGTTATTTATGTGTTCATGACTATCACCATCTAGCGTTGAAGAAGCCGAGCTGGCCCCGTTTCCCATCTTGAACCCCCTGACCGGGGAGGTAGATAGTCCTGGCTTGGTTTGGCCACTCGCCTTTCCAGAATTTCCCCTGCTGAACAGCGAACCCTTAGTGTTGTTCGGTAACGGCATGGTTGTTATTGCTTTCGACGTCAACTGTAACGAGCCTTCTGATAGGCTGGTTCAATAGCATGTATAGCAATAAAATGATGTACGCTTATGAAAAGCTGAAAATTGCTGCCAAGCAACGAAAATGCAGCTTTCACATCCCACAATGTCTGCGGTTATTTCCTGTTGTTTACACAGCTCTGGTTGTTCAGTGATAAACGAGGGCCATAGTCAGCTGTACACCTGGAAAACATCACACAAATAATATTCATTAACAAACTCTATAGGTAGATATCTCATTAGCGAGAATAAGTGAATTGTTACAATATCGATTTGTTTGTCATCGCTCGAATGTTTCGATACAGTGTATCGACGATATGGGATTTAACGAAAAGATTGAAAGCTTTACTTTAATTGATTTTTGATGTGTGACGGCGATTGAGTCTGGCGCGTGAGAGATCTGACAGATTTCTATATGACGAGAAATGATTAGCATATATCTCTTCATTGTTACACAAATAACAAACCAAGGAGTAGCGAATCTCACTAGAAAAATGCCCTTTAATGCTAGTAACGTCACATTGTACTGGAAAACGCTGATACAACTCAAACGTTCAGTGTGTCAGTGTATCGGGAACCTATAGTGCTATTGATTGGGGATATGATTTGCAGGTGTGCGAGGACCTCGGCATCACAACACCTTGTGGTCACAACAGTCATACCGTAGGTAAAAGTACAAACTATAAGAAATACGACCACTCCTATTTACATATTACGTACACGTAGTATAAGCGAGGTAACCCATGCTCTACTGAGGTACGTACTTACTCCCGTTCAAAGACAACAAATATAATAAGTTAAATGTAGCTTCTCTGTTTCCGCACAATTTTTTCAAAACATAGACTTTTTTATGTTACAATGTATTAAAGATATGGCAAATAATAAAATGATCGAACTTAGATGACATTTTTATTCAAATATTGTTCAGGATTTTGACATAGTAGACATGAACACACATTTACCATCTTGACATGTTGTGGTATAAATTTGTTTTAATCTAAATTTAGCTGAAAATTAAAAACAATATCATCATACCATTTGTTCAGTTTACTGGATATCTTTCCTTATCATACAAAGAATACAATGATGATGATATTCAATCGATCCCTACGAACCCTTCAAATAATTACCTTTTTTAAATGAACGTATTGAGTGCTTACCGCCAGGACACGATGATATAAACACTTAACATGATTTAACGATATCCGTTAGATATCTTGAGAAATACATACAAAAGTATAGCTTTTTTACCGGAAATCACAACACTTTCTCGAATCATTTTATTGTTTCTGTACTTATAAATGGTTTTTTCACAGCCTTTTGCTCTGTCGAGATAATTGGACCACAAGAGAGATCATGTAGCACAAAACCACACAACGAAGTGTTAGAAACAAGGTGATGGGCAAAACTCTAAAGATGAACACAACACACAAAAAGGACATTGTACTGTGAGATCGATCTAGAAATAGTACCTGCCTGGCCTGTGACAGATATAAGGAAAAATCTAATGTCGGTAAAACGTTAAGACCAGTTCACAATCTCACACAAACTCGTTGACTACACAAACTTGACAGATACACGAACTCGCTAGAATGAGCTACAGTATAAATAAACATGGCTGTAGCATTTACTGTAAGCAACAGCCGACTATAGATCGGGTTGGAACTGGTCTGCTTACTGTACCAACGGATTGCTTCCAAAAAGATAAATGGGTTAACAAGGGACGTAATTTGAAAGGTAAGTCTGCCATTGGATCACACCTTGTTTGAGGGAATATATATATGGATTTCTTTTGCATCATAATACGGTTAATAGTGTTATTTTCTCTGGTAGTGTTACACCTTAAGTACACACAATGACCATGTCTTGTCAGCAGGTTAAATATGCCGGTCTGTTACCACATGTCCCAGCGGGAATCGGCTTCACTCAATATGTCTCTGCATAAGCGATTTGTGAATGGCATATTTAGTAAATGTCATCGAAATCTTCGTCTTTCTCACGTTGATCACTAAAATGTTTACTTCGATTTATAAAACTTAGTGAAACGTCTCCTAAATTACCGTGCCTGTTAAGTTGATGTTCGTAAGGCAGTTTTGACAAGGATCTGTTCGTAAGTCAGGATTGACAAGGATCTGTTCGTAAGTCAGTATTGACAATGATCTGTTCGTAAGGCAGTTTTGATGAGGATCTGTTCGTAAGTCAGTATTGACAAGGATCTGTTCGTAAGGCAGTAATGACAAGGATCTGTTCGTAAGGCAGTATTGACAAGGATCTGTTCGTAAGGCAGTAATGACAAGGATCTGTTCGTAAGGCAGTAATGACAAGGATCTGTTCGTAAGGCATTAATGACAGGATCTGTTCGTAAGGCAGTTTTGATGAGGATCTGTTCGTTAGGCAATATTGACAAGGATCTGTTCGTAAGGCAGTATTGACAAGGATCTGTTAGTAAGGCAGTATTGACAAGGATCTGTTCGTAAGGCAGTAATGACAAGGATCTGTTCGTAAGGCAGTAATGACAAGGATCTGTTCGTAAGGCAGTATTGACAAGGATCTGTTCGTAAGGCAATATTGACAAGGATCTGTTCGTAAGGCAGTATTGATGAGGATCTGTTCGTAAGGCAGTTTTGATGAGGATCTGTTCGTAAGGCAGTATTGACAAGGATCTGTTCGTAAGGCAGTATTGACAAGGATCTGTTCGTAAGGCAGTAATGACAAGGATCTGTTCGTAAGGCAGTATTGACAAGAATCTGTTCGGTAGGCAGTATTGACAAGGATCTGTTCGTAAGGCAGTAATGACAAGGATCTGGTTGTAAGGCAGTAATGACAAGGATCTGTTCGTAAGGCAGTATTGACAAGGATCTGTTCGTAAGGCAATAATGACAAGGATCTGTTCGTAAGTCAGTATCGACAAGGATCTGTTCGTAAGGCAGTAATGACAATGATCTGTTCGTAAGTCAGTATTGAAAAGGATCTGTTCGTAAGGCAGTATTGACAAGGATCTGTTCGTAAGGCAGTAATGACAAGGATCTGTTCGTTAGGCAGTAATGACAAGGATCTGTTCGTAAAGCAGTATTGACAAGGATCTGTTCGTAAGGCAGTATTGACAGGGATCTTCATGTACAATGTACCATAATTCACAAGTAATTTCCCGCGTTTGTAACTTTTCTTCTAGATGAGAATTACTTGACGGATAAAATTATTTCCATATTTCGAAAAGTATTTCCTTACGTTGTCTCCTAAGTTATAAATTAGCACACTGTCACACAGCGTTTCCTAAGCAATTCATGTTTCATTCGGAATACCAGTGCAGAGAACGGTCTTCCCGGCACAACGTTGGTAATATATGAAACTTATCTAAAATACAGTAACCATAACTTAACCAAAAGGCCATGGACTTGTATTGCTGTCTAGATAAGTTATTAGTATTTTATAACTTTAAATCGCAAAATGCGATTTAGTCATATCAACAATTCAGTACTTTTATATCCTAAACTCACTGCTACACAAGCGGATGTGAAAAATTATTCCCTTCAATACTGAGTTTGGTAGACTTTTATTCCGTTATTATACACACGTACACCGTTGTGAAAAACACAACTAAATTCTGTTACAATTAGTTTAAAACCGTAGATTGACTAAACTATCTTTGCATTGCAATACGCAGCTTTTTACTAGGGAAAAGCTTTTAACACTAAACAATTAACATTCAATAAAGACGTTTCAATAAGTACTTTACAGAAGACTTAATAATTTAATACGTAATCTTTACTTTGGAAACTGAGTTACTGGAATGTAGCTTGGCAACCTCCCAACATATATATATATGATTTGTCTTTAACCGAGGGGACTATTGGTTTTATATAATAGCTATATTTTCAATTATAGTATATTAGTCCTATCTTATTGTAATATCATGTATATGTACATGTAACTGTTCTGTTTCAATGTGTCTTGATAAAGGAGCGGATCGCTCCGAAAATTTGACAACCTAAACTTCTCCACACTGTTTGAATTACTTCTTTGCATACATCAATATTTCATGATCAGAAATGGAATGGGAGTTATCTCCCCTCGTTTATCTTGATATTTTATTAATATCGCAATCAAACTAATTAAATGCATGAAAGCCATGAGTGAATATTATGCAAAGATCCTTTTTTATAAAATGATAATAAAAGTTTAAGCGCGATATCATTGACACTTCTTACATAATGTATATGTTGGTCGGGAAAGAACAGATCGATTTAATAGTAACTGTTACGATTATGCAAATAGTGTATTTTTTACTCAAACGGACAAATTTTGCATTCGACATCTGAATTGAAATTGCAGACATGCTAACCTAATATAACTGCTTTCTAATCTTCGTTTAGAGATGATTATCTGGTAAACGTGGTGTGTTCCATTAGCTTTAGCACTTACATGACAATGGTCTATCTGGGTAGAATATACCTAGGAGTAATTATCTCCTCAACTAAATTAAAGTTGAAAGTAAGCTTAAAAATAATTAAAGTGGTGGCATGAATACTGCCGCCACAGGGTTTGCTGACATGTTATATAGCGAAAGGAACAGTATTGATCAGCGACATGACTCCGTGATGTACAATGTACCATGTGGTATTACAGAGAGCACGCGCGATTACGTTGGGTACGTTATTTGGTGGTTCGTTTTTCACCGGTTTGTTAATAGCAAAAAAAAATCAGATGAAAAATCCTATATTAATGAAGTATTTCACAGAAAATATTCCAGTATCCAAGTTGCTACCTCGAAATTAATCCGTCAATGTTTCCGTCAAATCTTCAAACCGTATCACACATTCTAACTAAATGTCAAAACTCAAAAGCAGAAGTCCGTCGGCTTCTCTGATGATTGACAATTTCCAATTTCAAGCGTGTCAATCAGCTCATGTCACGGATCACGCGCGGATGCACATGCTGACTGGTTGGCCCTGACAGAATTTCATTACCTAGAGTCGATATCACTGTGGCCGTCACCACCACAACACGCACTGGCCCAGGCATCTGTATTCAGAGGTTGTCTTAGACTCCGTCTCTCTTACCGTAGCACAATTACTTAACGACGGTCGGAATCTATCTGTGACGTTCGGTCTAAGATCATTGATAGTGTATTATATACATTACTTGACCATTGTTTTATGGTACAGGCATTTCATG